GCCCCCAGCCCGGTGTCCTGCGGCTGGAGAGCGGCTCAGGGTCGGCATCGGCACCGCCATCGCCTTGCTGCTCCCTGCCAGCTGCAGCAAGGCACCTCTTCTGAGCACAGCCTCGGTGAAAAGAAGGAATCGTGAGTTCCCGGCGCCCGCAGGGCTGTGCGCAGGGAGCTGCCGGGGCGCTGGCGCGTGTGGTGGTCCCTCCTCTGTCCATCCGTCCGTCCATGTCTGCACAGACTGCGGGCTGGAGCAACGTGGACCAGTTCTTGGCCTTGCAGCAGCCCTGCGTGTCGGTACGGCAGGGGGTGCCTGGCAGTGCCCTGTCCCCAGCGTGGGGACGTGAGGGGGCTGCGCCGAAGGGTGCTGCCCCAGGCTGCAGGACCCTGTGTTTGGTTTCCTGCTGGATTTTCCAAGCTGGCACTCGGTTTTGGGGTTTTATTCCCCCCAAGATCGTCCTGAGGAGGAAGAATTGTCTGTCAGCTTCGTTAAGAAGTGCCAGCTGGGTGCTGGAGGATTTTGCTGGGTGGCTGTTGGCGTGGCACAGCAGAAGTGCCGGCACGGTGAGGCTGTGCAGGGCCAAGGGCGCGTTCGTCAGCCCCCTGCCCTGTGCGTGCTCAGGCGCCCGCAGAGATGCTGGCGTGGGGGGACTTGTTATTTTGGGCCAAAATCCGCCATTTCCCCACGTGCATGAGGCAGCATGGCCCTGCTTTGCAAGCAAATTCCTTCTGCTTGTATATGGGTGTGAACCGAGGTGGGAAAGTGAATTTGGGGTGTTGCTGTTGACTTTTAACCCCTGTTTCTGGCAGGGCCGAGCAGCCGCAGTTATCAGCTGAGCTGCAAATCGAGTTACGCGCTGGCAGCTTCATTCATATTCCCCGGCTCCTGCCCGTCTCGCCTCGTCAGAGATTCTCCGGTCTCTTTTAGCCGCTTGCGGCATCGAGCGCGTGATTTACGATCCGGTTCGAGTGGCTCCCGAGCGTCGCTGGCTAATTTGCCACCCTTTCCTTGCAGGATTAAAGCCGGGCGGCGCGACGCTGCCCTGCGGACGGAGGGGCAATAGCTGGGAGGGGCCGTGCTGGGGGGTGATGCCGTATCAGGTGTGGGTGCCCCGGCGTGGGAGTGGGGTGATTTATGCAGGGCGAGCCCCCGCCTCACTTTCCCCTGCAGCGTTGGCATCGCCGTGGGTCGTGGTGAGACGTGCACCAGGACGCAGAGACCTGGCGCAGTTGCTGCACGTGTGGCCGGGCCCCAGCATTTCTCCCCCTTTTTTCCCCATTTTGCAGTGAGGGATGCAGCTCCCGGGGCTGAGCCCCTTCTTGAGTGCGGGGTCCCTGCACACCGCCTGGTCCTGCTCCCACCAGCGTGGTCTCCAGGAGCTGCGGGGTGGGGGGATTTGGTGACGGAGCCCCTCGCCATCAGCTGCCTCTCTCCCTCAGGGTGAAGGCAGAGCACCCTGTGGCTTTGGCCCATTTCGGGGATGCCTTTGGGTGCCAGGCCCTCCTCTTGCGCAGTGTATGGGGAGGGAGGCACAGGGACACCCAGCACGGTGTCCTCGTGGGGACATGTGCGTCACCTCCTGCTCTCTGCTGCCCGCAGAGCTCAGGCATGGGAATGTGGAGGTGGCATCTCCCCGGGGGTGAGTCCCGAGGGCGGAGGTGACCTGACCACTGCTGGGACACACAGAATCAGCTCCAGGCTTTGGTTACAGCTCGGCAGCGTCCACAATTATCTGCCTTCAGCAGAGGAGACGTGGGGAACATGGGGCTGAGGCTGGCCCCGACCTCTGTCCGTGCCTCAGTTTCCCCTGTGTGATTGGGCCGTAGCCCATGGCACATGCCGGTGCTGGGGCTGCCCTGGCCGCGCTCAGCGCCAGCTCTCCGTTAGCAACAGTGATACATACCTCTTTTTTTTTTTCTGCTTCCAGGTGAATATGGCCCTGGCAGGGAAGCCTTCAGACGGGACTCTCGGCACCTCCAGACCTGACCAGTGGAATATGGTTTTTCCCCAGAAAGACGAAATCATCACCAGCTTAGTGTCTGCCTTAGACTCCATGGTAAGAGGCCACTGGCGTCCCCGTCCCCTCCCTCCTTTGGGGCTGAAGCAGGGGGCTGTCGAGCTCGTCCCGCTCCCCTCTACTGCTGGAAAGCCCAGGGAGCTGCCAGAGCTGGGAAATAAAAATTCTCTGCCACCCTGACAGCCGTAAGGATCATAAAGTCAGCCCAAGTTAAGCTCAGATGTGTATTGTTTTCCCATTAATATTTATGTTGGTATCAGCTGAATGTAGGGTGGTTGGTCGGGGTTTTTTTCTTGACGTTTTACCAATGTTACCGTGAGCTTTTACACAACAGGAGAACAATGGCTTTTATCTCCGAGAACAAAGAAAATAACTTTCATATCTTTTGACGTAGAATTCCCGGTGGAAACCTTGCCTAAGTCAGCCGTGCTTACATAAACAAGATAACTGTCTGGATTAAGTCTCGTGGACCGGAGCTAATCTTATTTTTAACTGTGAATGTGATCAAGAAGGGAAAGCGGGTGTGTAGTAACAAATATCTAATGCAATGCGACGTGCCAGATAGCCCTCCCTTTTTAAAGCCAAGTCATATTTAATGTATTTATCTCGGATGTGTCTTCTGCTCTATGCAGGTAGGGGTTTTTTTCACTAACACTAATTTGCTCCTTTTTAACCATCACCGCCCCACTAAGGAGCAGGTTCTCTGGAGCTGACGCACCCCAAGCAGCTTTGATTTATATACATGCCATCCCGTACAGCAAATCGTGTTATCGCAGTTTGGCTTCTTAATGAACATACATTATTCCGCAGTCCTCGTTACGTGCTGACACCAGGGCCGGGAGGCCAGGCTGCTCCTGAAATTCCGCCTTTATCCCAGCACTTCACCCGGGCCGGGCTGCGCACCCTCTGAAGCCTGGCTGCCCGCGCACGTGATCAATAAACCACGGGGCCGCGTGCGTGTCGCCAAGTGAGCTTAGGGTTTGGCTTTGGTCCGCCTCCAAATCTCACATCCTCTAGATTTTATATTTATTTTGTGAGCGTTGGGCTTTTTAAGCAAAAGGCTTCCATTGACTGCTGGGCTTTGGAAAGGAGGTTTCTTAAAAATGTCTGTTTTGGGGGATATGATTCAATACCTCCTTCCTGAAGAAGGTGAGCAGGAGGTGAAAGGACCCAGCGTAGAGACGGGTTGAAGCCCATGCAAAGCAAACTCGCTGTAAATGCATGCGGGGAGCTGACGGTAGCCTGGGGGGGGAGGTTGGTCCACGGGCAGCTGCTTTGCTGCTCCCTGCCCGGGTGCCAGCGGCCTCCGGCCCCTCCGCCGCGCCGGCGACGTGTCTGACCGGGCCTGACGACGGGAAGATCCCCCCGCTGTTACCCATGGAAATGGTGACCTGGGGATAGCGTCTTCATAGCGTCGGCGCTGTAGCTATGGGAATATGACTCAGGCTGCCGGCACTGTGTAACTATTCTAATATTAAAAAAATAATAATAAAAAAGCATATACGTGTGTATTATGTAGAGCAGGAAGCGCACATTACATAAAATGGATTAATGGAGGAAGTCTTTTCCTTCTCTTTAATGTTTTGCATAACTGTACGAGAAGAATCGTTTGACTAATCCAGACTTTGACCATATTAGTGCTCTGCAGCTGAAATAAGATTCCCGTGCTCCTTATTTCATTAGAGCTGGTGAAAAAATACATATTTTTGTTGGTTTGGGGTTTTTTGTTTGTTTGTTTTGTGGTGTTTTTTTTTTACAGGGATGTTTTCTCTTGAAGAAATACTGTGAAATGTGTATTTTTAGAATGGGAAACAGTGAAGCGAAATGATGGGTAAATAGTTCTTGTTATCCAGCAAAGCATAGCTCAGCCGGGCACCTTTCTGGAGCTGTGAAGTCGCCAAAGTGTTTAGGGGATGCCATAAAACCCATGAGGTTCTGACCCAAACCAGAACATGGCTTTAGTTGGGGGAATCTTTTGATGGCAAGAAAAAAGTCCCGCTGGAAAATGGCCGGGGTGTCCAAGCGGGGATGCTCCCGGGCCGCTCTGACCCGGTGCCTCCCCGGCCCCCGCCAGGCTGAACGCGGAGGTGGCCTGCATCGCCGTCCACGAGGAGAGCGCCTTCGTCGTGGGCACCGAGAAGGGACGCGTCTTCCTCAGCGCCCGCAAGGAGCTGCAAGCCGACTTCCAGAAGTTTTGCAGTGAGTATCCCTGCCGGCGCGGTTTTCCCCTGCGCCCAGCTCCGTTGTACCTGCTGGGACCTTCGCTGTGCACGGCAGGGGTGTGGTTTGGAGGGCACCGTGGCGTGGTCCATCCGTGGGGCTGAGCCGGGCTTAAAGGGATGGAGAAGCGGGTAGGAACTGTGGCTGGGGACCGTAGAAATGCTGCTAAATATCTGCAGGGCGGGTGTCAGGAGGATGGGGCCAGACTCTGTTCAGTGGTGCCCAGCGACAGGACAAGGGGCAATGGGCACAAACTGAAGCAGAGGAAGCTCCAGCTGAACACGAGGAAGAACTTCTTCCCTCTGAGGGTGATGGAGCCCTGGCCCAGACTGCCCAGGGAGGCTGTGGAGTCTCCTTCTCTGGAGATATTCCAGACCCGCCTGGACAAGGTCCTGTGCAGCCTGCTGTGGGT